AAGCTGACCTGTTCAACTCTGTCTAGAAATCAAACAGAACTACATCAACATACTCCCTGGCCTTCTGGCTTCTGATTAATTCAGCACAACACTGAAAGATTAGAGGAGCGAATAAGTGTATTATTGTGGTGTTTATCCCACAATCTATTTTCTGCAGCATAGCCTAGGATGGCTGTGCTTTTCAATCTCAGGTCATGGGTCTTTCAAAGCTGCCCTCTTCATATTACTACCTTTTCCAGCCTCTGGAACCTTTAATTTCTGTTGTCATCTTAGGTCTCTAGATAGTGGAAGTGCTGCAGTTCGTAGCCATGGAGTGTTTTACTACTGTTTGTGCCTTCCCTAGGTTGTTCCCACCCCTTTGCAACTAGTATCTTATCATTGAATTAACCTCATGTGTGTGGTCCATCCTTCTCTTGATGGGACCTTGACTGTAGAGTAGCTGGATATGCTGGAACCAGTTGGCTCCCCCTCCCTAAGTCTGAAGTATTCAAGAATCCAGATATAGTAGTATTAATAAAATAGGAAAATAGTTCATCTTCCTTATAATTTCTTACAGTTGGATGATCTAAGAATGACCATAAGTGTATAGAATTTATTTAAATATTGTACTTGCTTTCAAGTGACAAAATAAATGGTTGGAAGGAAAAGAAAATTACCAGGGATCAGTAAATCAAAATATAATCCTTGATATGGATAATACTCCACCCCAAAATATCCATTTTTATCATCATGTATAGTGAAAGATACTCTCCCAAGCCACCACCTGGCCAAATTATGAGGGCATTGGTGTTCTCTGCTATCTGCATCTTCCTTTCCAGGCAAAAGGCTCATAAACAGACAACTGTTATCTGAGAACAGAATTCCAGATTTCATAATCCAAAACCCCCAGTCAGTGTCTGGTTTCATTCTTTGCTAGCTTAAAGTATGTCTTGATTTCTAATCCGAGGTTAAACATATAGATCAAGTAAGACCCATTCCTTACTCTCAAGTATCTTATGGCATTGGGATTGGGATGTATAAGAAAGAATCATACACAGATGAATAATTATAAGCCAGTTTGACAAGGGCAACAATAGAGCTTGCCTATATGTATGAATATGTTTGCCAGGTATCTGATAGCAATGTCTGACATGTTTTCTTGTACTTTCTTAATGGTCAATTTTTTAAAAAATTTCATTATGTGCTAAAGGTTTTGGAATGAAAAAAAAAATTCTAAGAGAAATACTGAAAGTATTCCATGCAAAGATGGAATGAACCCACAGATAGTCCATGGGAATGGGAAAGGAGGTCCTGACAGAAGAAGTTAAATGAGCTAAGAAGTCTGTGTATGCTGAAGAGCTGAGAAGTAATAAACATTCAGGGTCTAAAACAACTCATGTTTTGAACCTGATCTCAACTGAACTGATAAGATTTCACCAAATGCATTGCCAGCTGTTCTCTGGACTTGAGCACCTTGCTATGTGTGACCACCCCATCTGCCCCAATACTTTCTTTCAGTGGTTGATGCCCTGAATGTGGATTTTTAAGAATAGCTGCTAATGTGTCAGCATTTGGTAATCTGGAACTTGAATAGGGAGGGTAAAAAGAATAAAAAGAAAAGGAAATTGGCAGTGAGAAAAACCTTTGATAAAAATAAGAAACTAATGGAGGAAAATCTTCAAGAAGAAGCAATAAGATCCAGGTACAGGAGACTGGATCCCTGCAAAGTATTTCCAGCTTTGATGAAAAAGAAAAGCTACAGAATACATTCTTGCAAGATTCCAAACCAATCTTTTTGTTGTTGTTGTTTGTTTGTTTTTCTTTTGGGGTATTATCATCACTAATATCATCATTGTTGCCAACTTATGTTTAATATTTACCCTGGTGATATTCAAATGTTCTAGCATTCTGAGGTCATGCTTTTGTACTCCAATCATTTATTCAGTGATTCCGTCCCATCTCAAATATTTCCAAAAGTTTTCCAAAATTTAGAATTTCCTGGCACCTTTTTCTCTGAGCTCCAGTCAGCAGAATACCTGTTATGTTGTCCTATGGCGCCAGTTAGCTCTCCATTCTACTTTCCTCTGTTGCATTCATTCACCCAAAAAACCAATAACCCAAGTGTTTTGTAATGTTGAGATGAACTCCAAACACTTATGTAATTTGCTCTGTGCATGTTTTGTTGTAAGAAGAACATGGAGTGTAATCCTTCTTCTTACAAAAATATTAATCACATATTATCCAAACACATGTGTGAGTTATTTGCCTCACATACTGAACGTCAAAACACATAAGCCTAGAACTGACAGACACATTGAGTAGCCCAGAGATACTCTCTGCCAGCCTTTGAACTGTTCTCTGAAGCCCTGTCTGTCAACACAGGCACCACTGGAAGGGTGGAGGGACCTTCTCTCTCTCTTTGTGGGTCTCCTCCTGTTGGTCAAACCATCTCTCTCAGCAGCCTTTTCTAGAAAGGTCTGCCACACTTCAGTTAGTCTCCACATCAACAAAAGCCTGCTTCCATCCACATTGTACAACTAGGCTTTGATCTTTGGACTCTAGAAGAAATTGGAATTCACTCACTCACTATCTGCCTAATGCATTTAGTGTGTCTTCTATAGAATTATTCCCTGTGAGATTTAGCCCAGTTCTGCCATTCTTTGAGCAAGATGAAGAAAAACAAAATAATCTTCTTGTATGGCAATACACTCTATAATTCATCATTATCCTATTTTAACCATACAAAAACACTAAAAAAATGCTAGGCCAAAGTTTTGATATTAATAAAGGGTAAAACACAACACAGCACATAACAAAAGACAGATTAAATAAAATGTCTGAGGACTTCAAGTTTCGAGTTACAGGTAAGGAGCTTGGAAGTTGCCATACTGTCTTAACATGAAAGAAGCTGAACAAAACAAAACAAAACATAGCAATTGTTCTTAGATCTGTAAAAGAAATAAGGTCACAGGTGAAACTACTGCCCACCAAATTAGAGGTGTAGATAGGCAGATACAGAAAAATCACAACTTACTTAAGCAGAAACTCATAAAAACCTCCAGAGGAAATCATAGGAAGCCAGGAGAAAATTCTGACCTGCCTTTGACAAACTCATGGAGGCTCAGGTAGACAAATCCAAGCATTTTGGAAAGCCTTTAGGCTTCTGTGAGGTTTACCCACAGAAGTTTGGTCAGTTTATATATATATATATATATATATATATATATATATATATATATATATATCAGAGAGAAATCCCCTTGGGCTTCCCCCAAGGGAAGGGGAAAAGAAAACATTTTGAAATACATTAGAGCATTCTCTTCTTGATAAATTTTGCTCTCAGGTGAAACTGTTTAATTAGAGCCTTGTCTTTGCCCATGTCCTCTTGCTGGTCAAGAGGGTTTGTCACAGGAAATCAGGGAGTTGAAACTCCAAACCTCTGTTCTTGTGTTCTGATGAAAGAAGATTTAAAGTCAGACACCCAAGGTCATGCAAGAGGACTTTATTAGAAGTGAAAGTAATGTGAAAATAAAGTAAAAGTGAGGCTTAAGCAAAAGCATGCTCAAGGGAGAGAGTAGGCTGTCTCCAAGCAGAGAATAACAAAGGAGGCAATGCTATCTCCAGTTTTATTTGATGTTTGATGTTTACCAGGAGAACTGGGGAACACCTTTTGTACTCTTTGCCAGTCAGGTGTTCAACTCCTCCTTCATGTTGGGTGGTGGAGATTTTGATCTTAGTGGTCCTCTCTGGAGCTGTCATGGTAGCCATCCTATTTAGGGGACCTTCATCTACAATTCAGTCCCATGTTAATGTGGGCACTGGGGTCCATCGCTGGTCAGAAGTTATCTTAGTGCTCCTTCACCGCTAAAGGAATCTTCCATCCCAGACTTGGAGACACTTACAGCCATTATCCCTAGCTTTATGTCAACATCAATGGATGCTGTCAAGAGTTAGTCCTATTAATCCTTTCCTCTTGACATATATTCCAATTAGCTCCTTTTGTGTCTGATTATTTTCTACTAATTAACTACTACCCTTTGCTTTTCCATCTACTTTGGAAGTAGTTTAAAGAAGAACCCTAAAGTACTTTCCAAGAACCCTTGTGACCTTTCCTGCATTTCACTGCTCATTGCTAGCTACTACCTAAAAGCTCTATGGAGCTAGGTCTGACAGAACCATAGTAACTTCAGGGAAGGGAAATAATTCTAATCCACTCAGGCTAATCCACTAATCCACTCAGCTTCAGTAAGTTATCCTCATCTTGCCACACATATGGGGGAGGGGAACAAACTGAGAAGCATGTATGAAGTTCAGGGCACAGGCTCACTAAAAGGCTGAGACTTAATTGTAGGACTAGAGAATGCTTCCCCTCCACCACCCCTTATGAATTCATTACTAAAGGCCCATCTGTAGTCATTTCTTTTACCCACTATATCATGTTCAGCTATTGAGACAAAATTGCAAGACGTGCTCAATGGCAGTTAGAAGATACAAAGCAAGCATTACAGTTAGACTCGGACATGGCAAGGTTGTTGGATGATCAGACCAGGATTTTAAACAGCTATGAATAATATGCTACTCCCTAATGAAGAAACTAAACAATGTGCAAGAACATATGGGCAGTGTAAGCAGACACAGAGAAATTCTAAGGAAGAAACAAAAATGAAACAAATAACAACAAAATGCTAGAGATAAAAAATATTGTAACAGAAATAAAAATTGCTTTTGATGGGCTTATTACAAGACTGGATGTAGCTGAGGAAACAATCTCTGAGGCTGCAAATATTTCAATCAATTTTTATGGAACTACTGGACATCCACGTGCAAAATAAATAAGTAAATAAATAAATAAACCTAGAGTCAAATATCATTCACAACATTTACCTCCAAATTTATTACAGGACTAAATGTAAAGCATGGAAATATAAACCTCCTAAAATTTGCACAGAAAAAAATCTGGGTGACCTTGGGTTTTGTGGTGACTGTTTAAAGACAATGGCAACAGAGCATGATCCATAAAATAATCAGCAAACTGAGTTTTATTAAAATTAGAAATTTCTGCACTAGGAAATATACTGTGAAGAGAATAAAAAGACAAAGGGTGAGATAAAGTATTTATAAAAGAGATAGCTAATAAATTATCCAAAATATACATAGAATATTTCAAACTCAACAATAAGAATATATACAACCCAATTTAGGAACTGGGCTAAAAATGTTAACAGACACCTCACCAAATAAGATATTCAGTTGGCAAATAAGCATATGAAAAGAAGTTCCACATCCCTTTATCAGGAAATCAAAATTCAAATAACAAGAAATATCACTACTGAGCCTATTACAGTGGCCAAAATTCAGAATACTGACCACAGGAAGTCCCATTCAGAGCCTTTCGGAATGCAATACAGACACTTTGGAAGACAGTTTGACAATTTCTTATAAAATAATACATAGTTTTACCCTGTGATCCAGCAATCCCCCTATTGGTATTTACCCAACATAGTTGAAAACTTATGTCCAAAAAAAAAAACCTGTATAGTTGCCTTATTCAAAATTGCCAGAACTTGGAAGCAAATTCTTCTGTGAGTGAATACATAAACTCTGGTTCTAGACAGTGGAAATTATTCAATACTAAAAAGAACTAAAACAGGTCATGAAAAGATATGGAGGAAATTCAAATGTATATTACCAAGTGAAAGAAGCCAATCTGACAAGGCTTCATACTGCAGGATTCCAGATATTCTAGGAAAGGCAAAACTATGGAGACTGTAAAAAGATCAGTGGTTGTGATAATGAAGATAAAATGGTAACTATATTCTCAGCTTTGTGCTTTCACATGAGACAATTTCAGGCAAGATATGAAACTTAGGAAAAGTACAGCAAAGTTATTAGAAGGGGAAGAAGTGGAGGAAGCACCTTCAGGAAGAGAGTGAGTCTTCTCAGAAAGGAGGGTGACAATTCACTTTGTGTTTACTGGGGTAGGAGGGAAATTACTAGAAGGTCCAACCCAAGTATCATATCTCAGCTCTGTATTGACAGATTACATTAGCTAACAACCTAAAAGGCAATTCTTGTTTGTTTCCACCTGGCTGACAGGTCCTAATTAGAACTGGTTTTACAGAATTTATGGTAGGTGGGCTTCAGTCTCAATTATGCTGTCTGCCTAGGTCTGGGAATCTCTGGTCTCTGTTGTCTATGCAGGGTCTAGCTTAATATTTCTTAGCAATTATGCTCTTTGAGCAAACATAGCTGAATTTATCCTCCTCCTCTTGTAAGAGAACAGTTTATAGGGTTGAGATCAATCAAGAGGCCTGAAATAGCTATCTTGTCAGGTCTTGAATATCACTGAGGCAGAGCTGTTCATTAACTGATTTGCTTTGTACTGAGTATTTTCTTAAACTCCTGACCCATTGTTGATGTCTAGATGATATCTAAGAATTGCCAAAGGGTCATGGAGAGAAGGATGGCAGGTGTAGCACAGAGGATTTTTAGAGCAAAACTGTTCTGTCTGAGGCCATAATAGTGAATACATGTCCCTATACATTTGTTAAAATGCATAGAATGTACAACACCAAGAATGAATTCTAATGCAAACTATGGACTTTGGGGACTAATGATGTGCTAGTATAGGTCCCTTGATGGTAATAAATGTATCACTGGTGGGGAAATTGATAGCAGGGGATGCTGTGAAGATACTTTCCACTCATTTCTTATGTACCTGAAACTCCTGTCAAAAACTGTCAGTACATAAAAAAGTAAAATATATGACATCCAATAAATATTTGACCTCCCATGAGCCATTGATCCTTTCTGTCTCATAGATGTCATTTCCCCCAGGTCTATCTTTTTGCAGCCTCCTCTTTGCCTGCTAAACTCCCCCAGCTCTTCTTTTCTCTGAGTCCCTGAATCCCGTCTGAAACAATACCCAAACTCCTACAATTTTCAACTCCCCCCATGTAGACCAGCAGAGGAATTAAATCTGCTTTCTAAATCATAAAATTTTATCAAGATGCTTTCCTAAACCAAGAGCAGTTTTATCTCTTGTGAGAAAAACCTTGAGAAAGAATACCATCATTGCTGGAATGGTGTCTTAGGACCATGGGTTTCAGATTATGTCATCATCTATCCTTATCATTTAAAGATTAGTGTACATCCCCATTATATATTTGCTTATTCATAGTTTATACTCATACACGTTTGATCACCCACTCATGTAATATTGATAACAACCTAACTAGTTTATTTTTATAAAACATAAATAGAAATAAATTTCTTGTACTACTCTTTTTGCATCCCAATAAATTATTATTTTTCAAACTCTCATTCTCCATGCAACAGATGCATGATATTGACCATATGGCACATTGTGATTCAGGTCCTACATCTTTTCTCCTACTACAATTTTTCTCTCTTTCAAGTAATCTGTATGACAGTTCTGACTAATAGGCTCAGTGGAGAATCATATGGAAGTAGAAACTCTAAAGCCAGTTACCAGACACATATTCATTCGTAATAATCGTTGTATTTTCTCTGCCCTCCCCAAATCCAAAATGAGTTGAAAGCAATTTTTTATAAAATTACAATTTAATGGGATTTTATGAAAAAATAATTTAAAGAGGAGAATGGTACCCATTACATAAACTAAGCTCTGTGGAAATGCTAGTATTCAAAACAGAGTACTCAGGGGTTTGAGAAAGGGTTTAAGTAGATGCCACATTTTTTGCAATAAAGTATTGGCCAAGAGAATCTTGCCACAGCACTGCTATTTGTTAGAAAGAAACTGAGATGAGAATAAGGAGGCACTGGAATCACAAACCTCCTGCCAGGTTCTTCAGTGCTCTGACATGATGTTGTTTTGGGTAAAATGGAAGCCTATGGTCTTTCACTCAGGAGAATGGGAACGAGCTGGTGAGTCCACTTTAAGATCTGTATAAAATGCTGTTTAACTTCATCCAGCACTAAATTGATATTACTACAGACACCTCCACCTCCTCTCCCTATCTCATTATTTCTTTGAATATATTGGCATTCAAGATGGCTTTGTGGAAAGGGGAAGAGGACAGTTGAGTTGGGTAGGGCAAGCAAATGGACAGGATGGAACTGGTTCTCTTCCCCCACGTTGTCTCAAGGAATGGAATTGAATGGATTTGAGCTCCTATGAAGGACCAGTTAGTTTCTTTACAGGAAATGGTTATACCAACTGTTACTATTACTACTCAGTGGGATGGAGGGTATGGATAGGCTCTGCTGTTCAGTGCTCCACAAGTGTTCAGAGCCAAATTGGTAGGAAAATAGGTTTTATTCAAAGCCAGCTTTGAAGGAAGACAAAAGAAACTTTTTGTTTCAAAATTTCCATCTTTGGAGGCTCTGAGAGCTGGAAAAACTTACGAGTAGTAGCAAACCAGGACAAAAAGCACGAAATATACTTATGCAGATTTAGTCAGCCTGTGGTAGACAGGCAAGAGGAAGGGGCGATTTGCTTCCTTGGTGTCCTCCAGCCCAGGGTAGGCAGCTGTTCAACCTGAAGAAGTTGTCCATGATTTCAAAAGGACTCTTAATTTCAGTCTGTTTCAACAGAATCCCATCGATGATAAACTGAAGCATAAAATGTAACTCGATGGATAAACTTCATGAAGATGCTCTTCTCAGAGGTGTGGGCAGGAATAGGGAAGTCATCAGGGACATGATGTGTCCAGAGACTAGCACATCAAGGTCTGAAGAGATGGAGAGAACAAACTGTTGGTATTAACAGGACCCAGTGAGAGCTGGGCCACCATCAGGGGTTGTTGTTTGGAAAGGATGCAAGACATACCTGAACTGGGAAGGAGAAGAGAATAACATCTCAACTTCACTTCTTTCTCTAAATGTTATCTCCTGAGAATAACTCCCAGGAGCCAAAACCAACAAGAAGCCAAGTGGCAAGAAAGTCCATAACAGAGATGTTCGGGTTTAGATAAGACACTGGGAGAAGATTTATAAGTGAAATGACTGGGTTATGATAGGTTTAATCTAATCAGTGCATTGATTCCCTGATAAAGATTGAGTGGGAGGTGACTGTAGGCAGGTAGGTTGTGGCTGGAGGAGGTGGGTTTTTGGGACTTTGGGAATGAGCTTTTGGGGTTTATATTTTGTCCACTGTGTGGGAAGCTCTCTCTCCCCTCTCTGTTTCCTGAAGTGGTGTCCTTAGCTGCTTTCCTCTGCCACACTCTTCTCTCATGATGTTCTGTCTCAACTCTTGCTCAAAAGAATGGAGTTGGTTACCTATTGACTAAGATTGACTAAGACCTCTGAAAACTGTGAGCTCCCAAATAAACTTTTACTCCTCTAAATTTTTCTTGTCAGGTCTTTTGATCACAGCAGAAAAAAAAAAAAAAAACCTGACTGGCATAGGAGCCAGCCTACTGACTGCTCAGAGCAGGACAGAGCAGGGAAGTATGGAGAACAGATGTGGTGGGGCAAATGGAGCAACACAAATGGTTGGAAAAAGCGTAATCAGAAACATTCAAAACCATTTGTCAAGAGGCTTGATGACATTTTACACATGGAATAGAGGCCAAAAGCTAACAGAACTCTGTGAGACTCTTGGCCCAAGCAGAACTGCTTTGGGGCTCATCCAAGGAAGTACTGCTTGAATTTGGAAAGGAGACCATTTATTCAGTCTCTTCTTGGAACCCAGCAGTGATCTAGTGTCACAAGAACCACAAACACTGGGAGAATAAAAGACATTTAGGTATGGACATCAGAGATCTTGTGCCATTTTGTAGGATAATAAATTACCAATTATGAGTTTGAGCAAAGAAGGCAGGACAGGGCAGATCTACATGTGGCTACAGCTGTCCATCTGGTAGGTGGACTCACAGGAGGAAGCATTTCTGTCCCTTGGTTCTATGGGCCTGGATCAATTATAAATTTGTTAATAAAAACATGTATGGGGGCTGAGGCTGGGGCTCAGTGGTAGCGCACTTTCCTGGCATGTGTGAGGCACTGGGTTCAATCCTCAGCATCACGTATAAATAAATAAAAGGTCTATCAACAGCTAAAAAATGTTTTTAAAAAATGCACACATTTTTATTCAATCAAAGGCCTATTAATATCTGAGATATCCATCTTCAATATTTTTTTAGAGAGAGAGAGAATCTTTTTTTTTTTTTGTAGGTGGACACAACACAATGCCTTTATTTTTATGTGGTGCTGAGAATCGAACCCAGGTCCTGCCCATGCTAGGTGAGCATTCTACCGCTGAGCCGCAATCCCAGCCCCATCTTCAATATTATTAAAGTATTTGTTTGTATTTAACTGAGTAATATGTGTTGGTACCTGGGAATTAAATATGCACGTAGGTAAGAGAGATTACCTGATATGGAAATCACACAGATTGGGTCAAAGAAAATTAAAGGTAGGATTCCTCAGGGGGATGTAGTCTGAAAATTTTCCCCAAGGAAGGACCACCCTTAAAGTCAGTACTTATTTCTAGTACAGAACTCACGGACAGATCAGGGATGTTAGTAGGATGCAGAAACAAGTAGGCAGAAGTAGGAACAAAGTTTTGCTGGAAAATACAAGCTAAACCATCCCAGAATGCTGAAGGGCACCTGATCCTGCAGTATTCTATCCCTTGTCCTCTTCCCAGTATCTCCAACAAGCACAGTAAGAATGATAAAAATCGACTTCTAGAGTCTTTGATACACACTGGGACATTGTCAATTTGTACCTTATATAACCCAATATAATTTTCATGTCAGCTCTCTAAGTAGGTTCTACTCCCATTGCACAGGGGAGAAAATGAATATCAGAAAGATTAAAGGGCCAGCATCCTATAAGGAAAGGATCCTGAGACCCACCTCTAAATAATCTCTGGATGATCTGTATCTATATTGTCTAATACAGTGGCCATGAGCTATGTATGGCTATTGAAATACAACTTCTGAGAATTAGAATGTGCTACAAGCATTAAATACACACTGGATTGAAAATCTTCTCATGAATAAAATAATGCGAAGTATCCCACCAAAAAGTTTCGTATTGACTATATCTTTAAATGGTAATATTTTTTAATAAAATGGGTTAAATAAATTATAATCTTAAATTTAATTTAACAGTTTCTAATTTTTAAATATGGCAACTAGAAAATTTTAAATTATATATGTGGTAATTATTAATTGCTATATAATTATCCCTAGAATAAACCATTTCATTATATCTTATAATCTTAGGATCGGGAATTTAGATACGATGGAGTGGGCAATTTTTCTGCACCATGTGATATGGACTGAGGTCACTTGGTGATATTCACCTGACAGCAAGGTTGGAATGGAGAGTCCAAGACAGCTTCGTTCATATAGCTAATGCTTTGGCTGGAAGACTGGTCTTATCTGGCTCTTCCCCTCTTCTCCATGTAGTCTCCTCTCCAGGTAATCTCTCCAACAGACTTCTTCTATGGTAATTCAGGCTCCAAAATCCAGTGTTCACAAAACAGAATATGAAAGTTGACAATCTCTTAAAGCCTGTGCCTGGCATGTGTGAGGCACTGGGTTCGATCCTCAGCATCACGTATATTTTTAGCCTGCTACAAAATCACTGAAAGAGCATGTTAAACCACATGTTTAGGCCTCACACCTCGAATTTCTGAATCAGTGCGTCTCAGGTGGGACTTGAGAATTTGCATTTCAATAAGGTTCTATGGTATGAATGTGTTCCCTCAAATGGATAGAGATATATTTCCAATGCAATAGTTGGAAGTTGGGGCCTAAAAATAAATGATTAGATCATGAGGATTCTATCCTCATGAGTGTACTAATGTTATTATCATAAAAGTGGGTTAGTTATCTTGAGAGTGGGCTTATTAGAAAAGCAAATATGGCCTTCTCTTTCTCTCACATTCTCTCTTGCCTTTTTGCCTTCTTCCATGAAATGATGGAGCAAGAAGACTTCACCAAATGCTGATATCTTGATGTTGTATTTCCCAACATCCATAATTCTGACAAGCAAATTTCTTTTCTTTATAAATTACTTAGTCTGTGGTACTCTGCTATAACAACAAAGAGTAATACACAAGATCATAGGTGCTGCTCATAGTCAGGAACCACACATGGAAATCCAATAGCCAATATTTCAACATAATTAACAATTCTATCTCACCCCTAACGGTTCCTCTTGCAATATTTACCCCAAGGTATACCCATGTATTCTCATGTATACCCACTCCTTCTCATCCAGGATAAAAATAAAGATTCTAATACAATCACAGACACACTTCTGACTGCATCAGAGAACAGGCAAGCATGTGTTCATTATTACCAACAACAGAAGCAGATGGAGACTAGCAAGTGGGTTGTAAATGTCAGGCACAGGGTTTTATGTAGCAGTCTTCTACAACCTAAATAATTGGTTTATCATTTTACTTTTCTATTTCTGCATAAAATAGCATATTATCCCAAAACATAAAGTCTTAAAACAAGCATTCATTATCTCATAGTTCCAAGTCATCCATCTAGAAGCAGCTTAGCCAAGTGGTGGGGTTCAGGATCTCTCTTGAGGCAGTAAGCAATGTGCTAACCAGTGCTGCTGTCATCTTGAGGCTCAACAGGAGAGGATTTACTTCTGTGCTCACTCCATGCCCACTCAGAAGATCTGTTTCCAAGTTCATTCTCATGACTGTTAAGAGACCTCAATTCTTTGCCACCTGGGCTTCTCCATAGGCCTGATTCGTGGCATGGCGTCCCTCCTGAATGAAGCAATCCAAGAGAGAGAAAGAGAGACAGAGTGCCCAAGATGGAAGCTGCAGCTTTTTTACAACCTAACATTGGATATAACATCCATTTCTCTGCTTTATTCCATTCACAAGTCAATGAAGGAGGAGAAGACTATATAAGAATATGAATATTAGAAGACATGGATCATTGGAGGCCCTTTAAGGGACTGCATATGACATTAAAAATAAACTCATGGACTCCAGTATATGAGGAAGTTGAGCACTGAATAAGTCAATTGCAGTTCATCTTGAGATTAGTGCTTAAGGCACACTATATCCCTTAGAAACATTGATTAAATGCAACTCAAGTACACTGCTGTTTATCTTGTTCTATGACAACAGAATTATGAAATAGCTCTACTATAATATTTGAAGTATAATGATTACATTAATAATAATGGCAATTTCTTATAGGCTAGAATAGTAATAAGCATTCATTTAATTATTGATTTAATAATAAAGTATAAGGTCAACATTGATCAATAACATCTTAGGATTTCAAAATATACTGCTATATGGATCAACATTTTGTGTAATTTGAGAAACTATATTAAAATTTTCTTGCTAAAAGATGTCATGGAATTAGGAAAGAGGAGTAATATCATTCTGAGACCCACATGCCAGGCATTCTTCCAATATTTAACACATGTTGTTACATTGTTCAGCTTCATCAGAACCCTACAACACTAAAAACAGGACAGAGATTATAAATATCTCACCCAAAGGTTCATGGTTACTAAACACAGCTTTGTCCTGTATCTTAGGGCTTTATTTAGCTATATGGTTCATTAAATATAGTCTCAAAGATAACATCACTAGTAGTGCATGTCAATTTCTATATCATACAGGTAGAATTCAAGTTGATTGTCTTGGTTGTTTTTATTGAGCTTCTCTGATACCAGTGTTAATTTTAATTATGTAACGCTACTTTGTTGTACGGGGTGCCTTGAGAAATCATACAAAAAGTCCCATGGTCTCAAAGGTTTGAACTAGTCTGTGGGCATGCTTTGACTAAGTCCGGTTTCTTCTTGCCTTTTCATATTTCATTTCCTTCTTAATGGATTCATGTTTTGGAAGGTAGATCTGGGGAGTAGCCTCAACTTACAGAGTTTCTACTATGTCTGCATCTGCATTGACCCACATCAATTCCAGTCATTCCTCTAAATCTCTTGACTACTGTCTTTGAGCTAAGGCTTTCCTCGGAATACCAAAGCCTGTAGCTTTACTGGCAATCAGTAATTTTCAAGAGGCATCTATCACAAGTTGAATAAATTAAGATTTTTCTAAAGCCCAATTTAACTGCAGAAAAAAAAATTTTTAAATAAAATAAAATTATACGTCAAAAAAAAAGAATAAAGCCCAATTTAACTATTGAGTTCCTACTTTCAAGTTCTCTGGATCTTAAAGAATAGAAATGGAGGGAAAGAGCATTGTAGCAAGTGCAAATATCTGGAGAGTACTACCACCTGACCTTAGCTGAAGTCAGTATTACATTGGGAAAAAAAAAAGGATAGTGTGGTCAATTTGTATTGTGCTAAAAGATTGAACACGCACTATAGTAAATGTGGGCCTGATAATTGTTCTTTCAAGAAAGGAGAATAATCAATCCTTATTATTTTTTTGTAGAAAACCAATGTTGATAAAGAGCAATCTAAATTTGATGTGTAAGAGCAAGGAGCTTGAAAAATCTTGAAATCACAGCAATACCAGTCAACTAAAACAATTTTGTCACCCTATGGGGAGACTGATTACAAAGCAAGTGACATAGGAAGGTTTAGTGGATAACTCCACCTATAAAACACAGCATGTCCAGGCAACAGACAGTCGTTAAAGCAATACAAATTTCATTGTAAAGAACTAACTTAGAATCTTCTCTCCCTGAATAATTTTGAATAAAGTATACCCGGAATGCATGGTGGGGTATGAAACAGATGAGTATTACTAGGAGAAAGAAAAAACTCTTAATTTGGGCTCTATATTCTTGATGGGCCCACATGTCAGGCCAGAGAGCCTTCACCAGCTGAAGGATGACAGCCATCTGTATCAAAAAAAGGATGACAACCGTTGTCATCATAATGACAATCATAGAGTAGTTCATGATAATGATTTGCCTGCAGCTGAGATCTCTGTAGAACTCAAAGCATCTCTGTTTTTCTGAGTAACTTGGATCTGTGCCATATTGTAAAAAAAATATTGGCAAAAAAATAAGGCTACCCACCATCCAAATAATTATGCTTAAGACTACTGCATGGTACTTTTGTAATTGTTGTGTCTGGAGTTTTTTAAAATAGATGAGTAATCGGAATATAACAATAACTATATAGAAAAGAAAGGAGAAGTACATATGCCAGTATATGATGCTGCTAACCACTCGGCAGGCAAAGGTTCCCAGCTCCCAGATGACTGACAGGTAATAGCTGAGGCGGAACGGAAGGCTGACCAGGAGGATAGAGTGCAGCACCATGATATTGAAGATGATGGTGGCAATCACTGACTGACTATTCCTCTTGAACATCATGCATGACATTATAACTGTTCCAATAGTGCCTCCCAGTAAAACCACGCTGTAGAGTGTTATCAGAATCGTCCTGCAATATGCATCACAGTGGTCGAGGTCCATGTTTGAGACATTTGGCAAAGCAGTTGTATTGATCATCTCCATGTTTTGTCACGATGAACTTAGATCATAATTGCCTAAATCAAAGTTTAACAAAATTATGATGTATATACAAAAACTATTCAACAACTGAGCATTAATAGTACTGAATTTGGCAATCTCAGACAACTATTTACTAGCCCCAAATTTTGTACCAAAAACATATTGTCAGAGATTCTGCCTAATAATTTAAACATATTGAAGGAACAGAATCCAGCGAAATAAAATAACAAAATTACGTTTGTTTGAATGTGAACTTCAGAGCTGTGCACCTAGGTATTCTATAAACAGCTATGTGTATCCACACATGCAAAATTTAAGTTAGGGTCAAAGATCTTAGTAATTAAAATAAAGTTTACATATATATACATATCATGTATATCTATATCTATTTATATCTATATAGAGTTTTGTTCTTTTGTTTTTTTGGAACCAGGGATTAAGCCCAGAGGTGCTTTACCACTGAGCCACATTCACAGCCCTTTTTTATTTTTATTTTTATTTTCTATGTTGCTTAGGGCCTTGCCAAGTTGCTGAGGCTGGCTTTGAACTCATGATTCTCCTGTCTCAGTCTTCTGAGCCACTGGGATTACAGATGTGTGCCACCATGCCTGGCTCAAAATAATTTTAAAAGTCGAAACTAATACAATTCTTGATGAACAAAATAGCAAAGTTTAAAATCAAAGGAGTATCAGTGCACACCTAGTATGCATTCAGATCAGATTTATAAAGATCATCCTTCCTGCCATCACACTAATTTGGGGTGATGTGGAGAAAAACTGATTTGGGTTAATGTAGAGAAAATCCACATAAATCATGTGTAATTGTTGTAAGAAAATGTATCAGAAAGTATTTTAGAGTGTTTTCTGTGAGCAGCTTTTGATCCAGGAGAAGTTAATATATATATATATATTTCCTACATCCCTTTCTTCTTCTTAAACCTGATCTTTTCTTGAACTGCTATGTGACATGTTGGTAAAATGCTGGAGTTTGAAGATGGATCTGCTTAGTTTTTATTTAAGTTTTGCTGGTGTAAGGATTTAAGGAGCAGTGATCTTGCAGCAAGCAGTACAGAGCACTGGTAATCTGCCATCTTTGCACATAAGGGCCAATTCTGCCATTAGGTGCTAAAGGACAGGGCACGAGTCACTGTGGCTTCATGTAGCTTTAGCTGTGACAATGCTGTACTCCCAGCATTAGAATGTTCTTCAGAAATCCCATGAGTCAGTGTGTTTGAGACAATTTTAAATTTGAAAAAAAAAGAAAAAGAAAATAACAAAACAAAATAAGAACCAAATAAATATTATGATTCTGAAGGTGAAACAAGATGAAGGCATTTTTTACCTCTTTCTCCTTTTTGCAAGTAGGGACAGGTACAGTTAGGTTATAGAAAAATCATAACTGCATTCATAAGTATTTAATAAATCTCTGGCAATTAAAAAAAGAAAGAAAAAAAAAACAACTTTTCCAGACCTTAGTTCTGAGAGTATGAGTCACAGACATCAACAGCTCAAACTTCTCTCTTTGGAAGATCCATGTCATTTCCTCATGTATCTTCAGCACGCATGGCCAGAGGCAGAGTTTAATCATCTGTGTTTGAGTGAAAAGTTACTCCACAGAGCAAATCTCAACATAGTAAATCTTCTTGGAGTGAATAATTAATTTTTTGTTTATACAAACATCATTAGATCTAGTAAATGTCATACCTACAAGAATATTTTATTGTACTTTAAAACATAATGACAACTTCAATTTAAATTTCATATGTTAAAAAATATGCATTTTTAAAGAAGTGCATACAGATAAAACAGGATGTTTATAAGATTTTTTGGAAAGCAATAATTCTAATTAAATTTTAAAACAACAAAAATACTAATTTACTTTATTAAATTTTGGTCATCTGAAAGTCTAAACAAACAAGACATAAGTTTGAAATTATTTAAAAACAATGAGAGCCTAGATTATTGATCAGTTCCATAGTTTAAATAGACACACCTGCTAAGACAGTGTGCTATTTGAAAACAGGTAGCACTGCCACTTACCAACTGGCTAATAATGGGACAGATATTTAACTGGACGGTTATTACAATGGAAGTGATAGTACTTACTTTGTAAGATTTTTATGAAAATTTAGGTTGCATCATCTATAAAGAAACTTAGATTTTCTGACATATTACTTGTTGTCAAAAATGTCAACATCATATGTCCCTTTACAACATATACAAGGATATTTCATAAACATAGCACACAAGGAACATTATTTTTTTAGATGTGTCTCTAAGTGATCTTACAGATATTTAATTCATGGAGATAAGTTCACAGGAAAGAGAAAAGTGTGACGGTCATTTCTCTTTTTCTTTGAGATCTTACCTTTGCAATCACACTGAACCTCTTAACCTTATTCTTCAAAAGTTCATAATTCTAGTGGTTTTTTTCCTCACTAAACCCAAATATGGAAATTTCTAGATAGGCAATCTATCCACAAATTAATAGCTACCCAAATTACTTACTTGCTCTTTTTCTTTTATGACTTGCTTCTGGTGGAAGGCTCAAGGCACTGTGGCCTGCTGTGATCTACAGCCGGACAGTCAGTAAGGGCAGTTTGCTAGAACCAAGACTCCAGTAACCATAGCAGTCCTGGGATAAATGACGATGAGGGTATAGCTCAAGCTTAAGACTGAGGATGCACAAAGTTTAACAGCCAAAATGGAGAGCCCAGATAAGCCATCTGAGCCACAAACGGATGTTTATCTCTATAGTTAGAGGTGAAGCAGATTCAGAATTACTCCTATCAGTAAAAACTTTCATTTTCACTACTGTAGATGTATTTGCAAAAATTTCCCTCATTAAAATGAACCACTTAAAGGGATTTTTCCAATGTTGTTTCTCATCCTACTTTCATGTGCTACCCAAAATGGTCACATTCAGAATAAGAATGGTATGAGGAAGTACTTCCTGGGTGACTTTCATATTCTCAGAGTAAGCTCAAAATATTTGTACCTCTTACTTCCAATTCACAAAAGTTCCTTTTTCTCCTTGTATGGGCTGTTTGGAGATATGGTTCTTTTGAAGCTTGATGCTCTAGTTCAAAAAGAAGGCTCATTTTTCTCAAATGCCTTTCATTTGCTTACATGAACCTTTTCACTTTCTGTCCTAACTTCACAGTCGTTTTTAACAGTCCTAAGACATCAAAGCACAATTTTAAGGAAACACGGGGTTTTTGTACTACACAAAGATACAAGGTACCAATATGCCTTCATCAGTTGTGGGCCAACCCAGCCCTGAATAACGTTATTGTTCAGCCAAGGAAATTAAAAAGGACTGAAACTTGATCACCTGTAATGCAAGTTCATTATGGCCTGCATTTAGGTACCAACTGATAAAATTCTCATTTACTTTGGAAAAGAGTAACTATCCTCCCCACCTCTGCCATCTGTTACCTGATCATCCAACAGTGCTTGTGGCCACAAAGACATAAAACAACAGAATCTAAATGTAATGGGGCCATATGCTTAATTATTTCAAGAAGAATTCTCCAAGAAAGGTAAAATTTCCACTCTTATTACGAAAGGCAAATTTGTACCAACTCGACTCAGCTGGAAAAATTTCATATGGGACCAATTTTTCAACCAATTTTAAACATCTCTTCTTAAATCAAATTAATTCAAAAAATATAAAATCTGAATTATAGGCTTGGATTTGGACATATTATCTGACAGTCCTTATTTTTCAGATAAAATGTGTTCCTGGAATCTGCAGGATAAAGTACGTTCCCATAGAAACCATGCTATATTTAGGGTTTGCTTGTCTGAGGAAGGACAAACTGAGAAATAAGTTAGATGTGACCAACAGTGGAGCATAAAAATTCACAACTATGAGCAGCACACAAATTAATTGTTCCCACTGATGACTGGAAGATTTCTGCTAAAATGTATCTCTGTTGTATTTACAACACAGCTAGAGGAATACATGGATTTCATACTTTTTCCAACTACAGTCAAAATTCAACTTTCTCCTTGGGGAGTGCCAATAATTGAAAGAAATACAACAAATCCTTAATATTAGACATGTTTAACTCCAGAATAGTATGATCTTATTTAACAAATGAAGCCACCACAGTTCAGAGAGTTTAGGAAATTATTACAAGGCCACAGAACTAATTAGGAGACAGATAGGGACGTAAAACATGGTTCCTGTACCAACTTTTTATTCCACTGCAAAAAAATGATACACACATGGTGAGGAATTTGCGATAGTCTCTGATAGACATTAACAATCTATGGCTTAGTTGTACTTCTCCTCTGGAAATGAACTAAACCTTTAAATAAAGGTATATTTAAAAATCCTATAGAATTAAAATACTTCTTTAAATATGATTTTCCTTCCTTCCAAGCTGTTAGAGTAAGACATGAACATCAATGAGGAGCCTGTTAGTTTTCAGGAGAAAAAGTCAATCTGTCCTCATCTGGGGAGGTTGGAAGCAGAGGCTGCTGGGGATGTACCATCTGGCCCACTCCTGCCCTTCCATGGGAGATGCCATTTGAGATGGCCACTGGTGGGCAATGTCTGCTGCTGAAAGAATGGTGGGTGGGGGTTGCTTATGTGTCTGTCAAATTGTGACTGTGGAATATCCCTAGGAAAGGGATAACAAAATCAGAAATTGCTAATTCTCAAACCTATTTACTCTCACAAATCATAAACCATAACCTCTTCACTAGCATACTTGGTTCTTTGTTTTATCCATAATGTCCAGAGGCTCAGCAAGCCTTGAAACTGGAGGCAGCACCTGGACACTGACCTCTCCCCAAGTTTTTGTCTGTCTCTTCATCCATCTCTCTCTGTGGCTGTATGTACATGTTTCACTCCATGTCTCTGTCATGTAGGTGCAACTGAGTTTGATTGCATGGAGACATAGGATTGGGAATGAGACGAAAACAGATTATCCCATCCTTCTCTCCACTTTGTGGACAAAAGATGGAGATCCAGGAAAACCATTGTAATCCTTTCACTTCTTCCCCAGAAGAAGATGGCCCAGGCAGCATTTCTGAGACTGTTTAGGAGTCAAGTAAATAAACAAATTAAAAAAAAAAATAAGAAAACACGTTCTCTGGCATTTATTTCTACCATACATCAAGTCTTAAATGATAAAATCATAGTAGGCACACAAAAGTCTTTGTTGAGAGTTATAGGTATTAGTTTTTAGAGTGTTTGGAGGTACAGTCTGCCCTCTGTATTTGCAGAATCCATATGAGAAGATTTCAAATTTGGATGGAAAATATTCAGAGAAAAAATTGTGCTTGTAGTAAGAATGTATACACTTTTTTTTCCTGTCATTATTAATTCCCTAAACAATATAACTATCTACATAGCAATTACATTGAATTTAATATTATAATGTTGAGATTAAATTAATTAATACTGGAAGGAGTATGAAGGTTATATGCAAATGTTATCCCATTTTATATATGAGACTTGATTGAGACTAGATTTTGATATCCAAGGACTGGTCCTGGAACCAATCCTCCACTGATAGCAAGGGCCAGTCCTGGTGAAATGTTCTCTGTATTTGAAAAGTGAAAGAGATTAAAATTAGACCTTTAAAAATAAAACAAACCTCTTTACAGAAGGCTGACAAAAGGACCTTAATTCAAACCACACCATGCTCTGTTTCTTGGCTTTCTATTTGCTCCTGGAGTCAATTCACATCTTTGTGCATTGTGTCCTTTGCACCTCTGCCTGAGTGCTTTTCTCACTTCTGAAGGTTGTACTGTCCCTTGTCATTTAGTTCTCAACAATGAATTCACCTCTTGGGAAACCCACTACAACAACCAGTGTCAGGAGACTGCTCAGGCACTATCACACTGCCCTGACTGAATTCTTTACATATGATTTGTCATTGAATTTTGCTTTTATTGCCTATATATTTCTTTTTTTAAAATATTTTTTAGTTGTAGGTGGACACAATGCCTTTATTTTTATTTATTATTTGTTTTTATGTGGCACTGAGGATCAAACCCAGTGCTTCACCAATGCTAGGTGAACACTGTACCAATGAGCTACAACCCCAGCCCCAATTGCCTACCTATTTCTAATGGTTTTATTGTCTGCATTTTTTTCTGCTGAGATCACTTGATCTCCAGTATCTCAGTAGACTTAGCCTTGAAGTTTTAAATCAAACAGACCACATTGTCTGGCAGTTTGAAGTCTTGGTCAGTTTCAGTAGGTTTAAGAATTAGCAGTTGCTGATTTATTTACCACTTCCTAAAGCTATATTTCATAGGACCCCTAACTGTATTGCTGGTATTTTCCAGTGCTCAGAACAGTGCCTACCACACATTTGTTGAATTAATTCAATATATTGGATGAATGCATAACTATACATGATTTTCAAGAGAGGCTATGGATAATTTTTCTTTTGATGATAAATATTTAATGTTTTAAAGTTATTCGTACAAATTTCAGGGGTTGGAGTTGAATGTGAGAGCTGGCATTGAACAAAAAGAGGGTCTATCAAATTCAAGCACATCATCTTAGAAGAAATTGAGCTCAGAGAGGCAGCTTGAGCAGAGGCCACACAGAAAACCTGGCTCTGACACTCTCAGCCTAGCCTCCATTGTTGACCTGGACAGCTGTCCAAGGTGACAATCTCAAAGAAACTACAGCTGGAAGTTTCCCCATATTCCAAAAGGTATTGTCTGCTTTTGGAACTGTATCTCTTAACACTTTGGAAGCATCTCAGAGGAAGGACACATTTGATCAAGAATAAGGAGACATTTTGTTCAACACACTTTTTCCTATGATCTTTTTAAATCTTGATTTTAAGTGTTGCAGGAGAATCATCTCTTATGCCTTAGGTTTCTGGCCTGATTTTAGGATAGAAAAAGCAGTTTTACCTCTTTGAGAGTTATTTTACAGTGTGGTTTATTTTTTTTTTCTTTTTCTTTATTCTATTGCTTTCTGAAAGGAAGATACTGTTTCCTGAGAACACAAAAAAGGAACTAGTGGTTTTACTAACACTAAGAATGAGATGCAGCTCAGATCAATAGTTTAAATTCAACTGTTTTCTGAAATGATAGTTATCTTAGAATTTTGACTTCCAGAGGGAGTTCAATCAAGATACGATTCACCACGTATCTGATTTTAGCATGACAGGGACTTGGTGTAAATTCACACAGAGTCCTCTTTGGGATAGGAGAGGACAAATAAATTAAGGCCCAGAAATCATTCATTCACCATGAAGAGGAGGGCTGAGTAAGAAGGCAACAGTTGATAGACTTCAAGGTCAAACAAGGATTTTTAAAGATAGAAGTATTTTGCTTATTTATATGACAAAACTTAAAAATGCCTATCTTGAGCCGCAAGGGATACTGGCCATGGGAATATATTGAATGCTCCAATCCAAATGGGCCCTGTGGTGACCTATTTTGTGCTTTGAAAGTTCAAAGAACTCAAATAAATACCACTAGCCATCAAAGATTCCCGAGTCTCCAATCCTAAGGCACAGATCTCAAGCCTCCAAAGGAACCTCCCCATTTCCTTCTGGCTCAGTGGAAAAATAATTACTTTGTCTTTATTACACTAGTGACTACAGAACTCTTGGCTGTTTTGCAGGCTGTAGCTAGGATGAAGAGCAATTTCACTAATCATATTTTACTCAAAATCTCACCAGACCTTTAAAAAATACACCCTCATTTAGAGAGGCTAAGCTCCGGCGATTTTGCCTATCAAAATCTGACACCCTACCCAAAGCTTGAAAAGCAGTTTTAATTAAGTGCACAGGCCAGCCTCCTATTAATGGAAATAAAATTCTTTAAATTATGTTAATTGCC